TGGGGAGGGGCCGCTTCCCCCCCCCCCCCCCGCGCTTCTTCCCTGCCCAGGGTCCCCCCCCCACTTACTTGAGCTTCCCGCTCTGGGGCAGTCATGTGCTCCCACCCCAGTAACCCCGGCTGGGGCTTCCGGCTGGGGGGCAGGGCTGGGCGGGCCCCGCTGTTGTTGGAGCCCACCGGGCTTCCCCTGGGTCCTACTGCCCTTGGTTCCTGCCCTTCCTCCCCAGGCTCTGCAGCAGCCACCACCTCCCATGGGAGTCAATGGCTCTGCTGCCCGCAGTATGGTAGTGGCTGGGTCTGCTGCCAGCAGTATGGTAGTGGCTGGGCTGGAAGTGCAGCTGCTGCTATTTTTGCACCTTTGGCTCCCCTCCCTCCTGTCATTTTTGACAGGAACCAAGGGCAGAGAAATATTAATTTTCTACATTTTGGGGGGGCCCCGCGGGCCAGATAGAATGGCCTCATGGGCCAGATCCGGCCCACGGGCTGTATTTTGCCCATCCCTGGTCTACAAGGCCTCAGTGGTAGAGCAGGTGGAAGATGTTAGAATCTCAACAGCTACGAAGGTGAATGAAAGTTGCAGTGGAATGAGATCCCCGGTTTTCTTGGTCTCCTTGCCATTGGATCAAGGTCCCATTCTGTCAAGAGCCGTGTGGAAGCTGATGTGCAGCAGCTTCTCCACAATAAAAGAAGCCACACGTAGGCATCTTCCATGAAAACAGCTTTTGCAGCAAAATCCTCAAGCCCTTTTGTGACCAGCTAATGGTGATGGGACCAGAATTGTGAGGTCTGGAAGCTCTTAGTCATGATCTGGCATGCAGTTACAAGGTCATCTAGCACTTGGACAAGACAGGAATGTAATTTGGCAGCTGTAACTGTGACTGAGCAGCCCTCTTCAGGATCCTTTCTGCTCGCCACACATCGGGAGGGGGCTAGAAAAAGTGCCCTGTACATAGCCTGTCTAATACAATATTCTGTATTTCTTCCTGAACGGATAACTGCATTCAGTGGGATCACCTTTATTGCAGTCAAAGCAAAGACATACCATCATGTTTGGTACCTGAAACATGAGGACCCTCATGGACAACCCTAATAGGGAATGCACAGAGTGCCACACTGCAGTCCTGGCGCAAGAACTCAAGTGACACAACTTCGGTTTAGCTACACTTGAGCAAGAGAATGAGAGAGTGGAAAATAGGAAACTCAAAGAATATGGAGGCAGTGATACCTTCTTCTAGAAGGGTAAACAAGAGGGAGAACACCAACTTCCTGGAGTTGGTTTTGCCATTAAGAAAAAACTAATAAAACA